TAGGCCTCGAGCTCTAGGTGCAATTGAGCCTATCGGCTTTAAAATATACATTAACATAGTGCATATGTTATATCTATATCAAAATAATCTATCACTTATATTATAATTACTTTATTTTCTTTAGGATTATTTTCCTCTTTATCTTACTCGGAAGGAAAGAAAAAGAAATAATATTATAATCAAATCTCAGACATTGATGCATAACTATAGAAGGTCAAACGTCTTTTACGATTAATTCTCCTTCCTCTCCCTCTTCTTCATCTCAATTCGAGACAAAATGACAAAATTCTTGCGTAAAATTTTCCTTCCTTCCCTTCCATTACTTTTCTCACAAACACTAAACAAAGTATACTGTTGAATTCCCTTCCCCTAATACTTTCTACCCTCCTTCCAAACAAACTGTGCCTACAAGAGTAGCAATTCTGTGGAGAAGAATTGGAAAAAGCAGATTTTTGGTCATAAGTCGACTCATGCACAGGCATAAGTCGACTTATGGTAAGTCGACTTATGTTGGTGCATGAGTCGACTTACGTTCTGCTCTGGATTGTTGGTTTTTTGCTCTGCCAAGTCGACTTATCAGGTCTGATAAGTTGACTTATGATCTCTTCTCCAGTTGCTGTTTTTCGCTCTGCCAAGTCGACTTATGCAGACTGATAAGTCGACTTATGACGGGTTTTTTGGAAAGTTCAGGTTCCTATTTGCAGTCTGTTTGGGTTTCTGTTTTGGTATAAATACCAATACGATTTGAGGGTTTTGTGAGGAGAGTTTTGGGGTTTTGGAGCACAGAAAAAGAGAGATCTTTCTGAGCTATTTGTTAGGGTTATTGGTTGAGAGATTGAGAGATTTGTTGGTGAGATTAGTTGGTTCGTTTGAGCGATTTGTAATCTCAATTTGTACTCTCCTTCTCTATTAGTGAAAACCCACCCCCTTCTTGCCCCGTGGACGTAGGCAATTTGCCGAACCACGTAAAACCTTGGTGTTTGTGTTTTGTTTGGTCTTTCTCTCGGCGTTCGTTGGTTTGGTTTCTCAAAGCATCAGTCACAACAAGTGGTATCAGAGCACGGGCAACGCTTGGGCTATTTGGAGGAGTAGATCGCTTTGGAAGTTCATCTAGGGCTTCGTTTGGTGATAAAGGTGGGATCTTTTTTTGTAAAAATCTCGTCTTTTTCAGTTTGGATCTATTTCTCGTTTGTTTCCGCATTGGTTTGGTGGTGCCTTGAGGATTATGGCCGAGAAAGAAGGAGTTGTGGGCAGTACTTCCGGCGTGAAGACCGTCCAAAGCTTGAATATCCACTCAATGAAGATTGATGTGGAAAAGTTCAATGGCACAAACAATTTTGGACTTTGGCGATGCGAAGTCATGGATGCGCTCAACGCGCAAAATTTGGAAGATACGTTGGAGTTGGACGGGAAACCGGACAACATTGATGAGAAGGTTTGGAAAAAGATGAATCGAACGGCGTGTGGTGTGATTAGGTCTTGTCTCACTCAAGATCTAAAGTATGATGTGATCAATGAGACTTCTGCAAAGAAGATTTGGGAGATCCTTGAGAGCAAGTATTTGACCAAGAGTGTGGAGAATCGCTTGCATTTGAAGAGGAGGCTTTACCGCTTCCAGTTGAAGAAAGGAACCTCCATTGGTGATCACATGAACCACTACACGAAGCTTCTTGCGGATTTGGCGAATGTGGATGTTAAGATTGAAGATGAGGACAAGGCGTTGTTGCTATTGAGTTCCTTGCCTGACGAGGAATATGAGACCTTCGTTCTTACTCTTATTAATGGGAAGGCATCTCTTTCGTATAGTGAGGTCACCGCTGCACTTGTGAATTATCAGCTTCGAAAGAAGGATAAGGAGACTTCGTTTGAGCCGGTAGCGGGGGCGTTGGTCGCAAGAGCAAAGGGTCCAAACCGTAGTGGGAGGTCGCAGTCTAGAGGGGCACATCTTGGAGTTCGTAAGAATCAATGTGCCTTTTGCAAAGAAGATGGACATTGGAAAGCCGATTGCCCAAAGTTAGTTGATCGAGCCGGGAAGAATAAGGGAAAAGCTATTCAAGCTTCAGAGGCGAATGTTGTCAAGGCTAGTGGCAACGATTCAGATTCGGATTCTTCGGGCTACTCGTTATCTGCACTGCCGTCAGTTTGTGTTGCCTACTCTACAGAGTGGATATTGGATTCGGGTGCTACATACCACATTTGCCCTAGGAGGGATTGGTTCTCCAGCTTTCAGGAGTTGGAAAGAGGGGATTTCGTGCTCATGGGGAATGATCACAAATGCTCTATTGGTGGTATTGGTACTGTTCGGATCAGGATGAGTGACGGGGTGATTCGGGAGTTGGTTGGAGTGAGGTTCGTTCCTCAGTTGAAGAAGAACATCATTTCACTTGGAGCTTTGGAGGCAGCTGGCTATAGGGTGACCTTGGCGGATGCACGCTTGAAGGTTACATTTGGGTCCATGATTGTGATGAAGGGCGTCAGAAGAAGAAATTTGTATTATTTGCACGGAAGCACGGTGATTGATAGGGAAATGACGACTTCATCAGATTCGGCTAGACTGTGGCATTGTTTGGTGCTGGGGTATATGATTGGTAATACCGTGCATTGGTTGTTGAGGAGTGCTATGACCTGCAGATTGAAGTCCTGTGAGCACATTAGGATGAGCGAGACCGTGGTGGAGTTTGGCACTTCTATCCATCGAGCGAGGGGTCTTTTTGGAGGTGTTCAGTCAGGCATTTGGGGGCCTTCCAAGGAGGCATCATTGGGAGGTAATCGTATCTTGGTTTCCACAGTTGGTGATTGTTCTAGGCATTATTGGGTCGCGACCAGTTCCCGTTGGTGTAAAGTCCTAGAAGTCAACAACAATTGGAAGAAGTGTATTGGCAGAAAGGTAACTCATTGTTTCAGCTTTGGTAGGGGTCCTTTCTTGCGTTGGTGCCGAGCTCACGGCAATAGGAGACACTTCATTGGTGTGGAGACTTTGGGGCGACGAGATGAGATGACAGTTTCGATGGGTCGTTCCTTTCTGGAGGAGGATCGGCGTTTGATGTCGAGCATTGGCATTGGTGTGCGGGCTTCGACATATTTGGGTCATCTTATGCATAGGTCGCCGACTGCTGCTTTAGGAGTTATTAGATCTGGTGGAGCTGCTTCAGATTTTGGGTCGCGTCGGATATTTGGATACCCAGCATTTGGTCACATCGTGGATGTGAGATTGGATCCGATTGCGCGTTTGGGGTTCGGAGGCTCAGTTGATTATCGTTTGGGAGCTTCTGATTTTGTTCTGAGCAGGTATGTCACTTTTGACTCTCGGCAGGTGGAGAGTGTTGATCAGGTCATTTGGATATCGCAGCAGGTGGAGAGTGATGCTACTCCACGTTGGGTGGAGATTACTCCACATACTCCAGATCATACTGCGTCATTTGGGATTCCAGCTAAGGTGACACAGGTTGGAGATCATTTGGTTTTGGATGCAGATGATGGATTGGTTTTGGATTCAGTTGCAGCTGGTAGATATAGTTTGGATATGGCCATTGGTTTACCTCAGGTGGAGGTGTTTGATTTGTCTCAATTTGGGGTCATTGGGAATACTATCAGTTGCAGATCGTTTGGTGATATTGGAGAAGAGTTGCAGACTTTTCTATTTGATTGAGGGCCTTTGGAGGCCGTTTGGGTGAACTACGTGAAGGCTTGATTCCTTGGGCAAAGGATACGTAGGCAGTCATTTTGATGCAGCCGATTTGGTGAGCGACATCGACATTTGGGGTGAGTGTTCACACTCTCATTTGGGTCTCAGCATGTGAGGCATTTGTTTGGTTGGTGTCGGCTCAGTTTTGGGAAAACTTCGCCGAGGTGGAGAATTGTGGAGAAGAATTGGAAAAAGCAGATTTTTGGTCATAAGTCGACTCATGCACAGGCATAAGTCGACTTATGGTAAGTCGACTTATGTTGGTGCATGAGTCGACTTACGTTCTGCTCTGGATTGTTGGTTTTTTGCTCTGCCAAGTCGACTTATCAGGTCTGATAAGTCGACTTATGATCTCTTCTCCAGTTGCTGTTTTTCGCTCTGCCAAGTCGACTTATGCAGACTGATAAGTCGACTTATGACGGGTTTTTTGGAAAGTTCAGGTTCCTATTTGCAGTCTGTTTGGGTTTCTGTTTTGGTATAAATACCAATACGATTTGAGGGTTTTGTGAGGAGAGTTTTGGGGTTTTGGAGCACAGAAAAAGAGAGATCTTTCTGAGCTATTTGTTAGGGTTATTGGTTGAGAGATTGAGAGATTTGTTGGTGAGATTAGTTGGTTCGTTTGAGCGATTTGTAATCTCAATTTGTACTCTCCTTCTCTATTAGTGAAAACCCACCCCCTTCTTGCCCCGTGGACGTAGGCAATTTGCCGAACCACGTAAAACCTTGGTGTTTGTGTTTTGTTTGGTCTTTCTCTCGGCGTTCGTTGGTTTGGTTTCTCAAAGCATCAGTCACAACAAATTCATCATAAGCTACATACGCAAAATGTAGTTTACGAATGGCGGCGATGGCATGCGTTTGGCTGGTGACGCGGATCTGCGGGCATCCGCTGGGAAATTATATAGTACTTCATATCATAATAAGAGTAAAACTTTTCTTGTCTATATCCGGAAAATTGGAAAACCTCTGAAGAAGGGCGGGCGGAAAAAAAAGAAAAAAGAAAAGAGCGGTGCATCCCTCCTCCTCACCTACCCCGAGAATATCCCAACTATTCCCATTCCACCCCTATAAATTCCCTTCTCCCCTCCCCCGTCCCTCCCCAAAATCTCCCCGCAGCCAAAACAGGAGCCCCTCTCTCTCGAAAATATTCCCAAAATGGCCCTCACAGCCTCCACCCCTCTCTCCTCCAAGCCCTTCCTCTCCCCCAACCCCCTCCCCTCTTCCCAAAATGCACCTACCCACCTCCACCTCCTCTCCCCAAACCCTAGCCGATCCCTCTCCATCTCCGCCGTCCACGCCGCCGAGCCCGCCAAGAAACCCTTTTTGCTTCAGGGAGGAGATTGTGCTGAGAGCTTCAAGGAGTTTAATGCGAATAATATTAGGGATACTTTCAGGATTTTGCTGCAGATGGGGGCTGTTCTTATGTTTGGGGGTCAGATGCCTGTGATTAAGGTGAGCGAAACCCTAGATCTGATAGAAAGTTTTGATTTTTGTCCGTCATTAACTCATTTATTGTTGATTGCTTGTTAGTTACTGTTTAGATTCTGGAATTTCTTATGAAAATTTTCGTTTTCCCCCTTATTATAGAATGGTTAAATAACTTTATACTTTTTGAATATTTTATTTAATGATATTTCAGCCATTTATCAAATATTTTTCTTACAACATTATCACCAAACAATAGGGCCAATAATTTTGATAAAAATATTGTCATGCAAGCATTTCATAAACATATAGATATGTTTCTTCATCTAGAAAAACATATTTATATTTTCAAGATTGATGAGAGAAAATAGTTATTCTTTATTAGACGTTGGAAGTTAAAAAGGAAAAAAAACCGGAATTGCTACCCTTAATTAAATTATACAAAAGTTAACCTCGATTACTGAGTATTTTAGTTGGCATTTTCGCGGTGAAATGTAAATATATACTAGTTCTGATTTCTCTAATAACCATATTTTGCTAATTGATCTTACCAGGTAGGGAGGATGGCTGGTCAGTTTGCAAAGCCAAGGTCGGACTCATTCGAGGTGAAGGATGGGGTGAAGCTTCCAAGCTACAGAGGGGACAACATCAACGGCGATGCCTTTGATGAGAAGTCAAGGACTCCCGATCCTCAAAGGATGATTCGTGCCTACTGCCAGGCTGCTGCAACTCTCAATCTCCTCCGGGCCTTTGCAACGGGAGGTTATGCTGCCATGCAGAGAGTTACTCAGTGGAATCTCGATTTCACGGAGCACAGCGAGCAAGGGGACAGGTATATATCACTATCATACTATTGCTTTCATGTTGGTTGAATCTTTAGCTAGTTATGATTTATGATACTTAGGTAGGCAATGATGAACATAACAAACTTTGTGTTGATATAGTATCGTTTATGATAATTCAGAAGAAAAAAACAGGAAATAATATCACTAAACACCATATCAATATGGTAATTCGAAAAACAGGAAATAATAATTTTGTGTTGATATAGTATCCTTTATGGTAATTATGCCCTTTTGTTTCATATAAATGAAAAGGTTTATAACTTGGATTTAGGTGCTCAGTCTCCCCAATGGTGTTATTATCACAATTGTTGTCTATTTGTAGTTGTTGGACCTAACTTGAACTGATATTGACTTTATAGCAACTTCCAGACAATGGGAGGATCAGTTTGCATTTTTTGATTGTTCTGAGTGCGTCATTTTAATATTTCTGGATTTTCTTATTTTGACCCTTATTTTAGGGATGGATATCTTTGTCTCCTTGTATTTTCATAGTCATTGAAGGTCCTGTAGAAGTCATCTTCAAACATAATAGTCGGTAAAATTTATCCAGTCAGTAAATTTATCCAATCAGCCTTACAGATTCAGAAGAAAATATACTGTTAAAGATAGCTAGAACTTTTGTATGTACGAAATTTCCAACATAAATATACACATGGTGACAACTAAATTCATTTTTGCACATGATAATGACGGTAGATATTGTGCATATGAGTTCCAAACACCATGGTTTTAAATGTCGGCCGACATGTCGGACATGGTGGCCGACATTATGTCGGATCGGAGGCTAGATCGACATGGATATGGTCATTTCAAGTTGGATATCGTTTTCAAGGTCCATGTCAGACATGTTAGGGGGATATTGCGGACATATCGGCCGATTTTCAACCTTGAAAAATCGGTCACATTTTTTTGGAGTTGTCAAGTATTGGGGTTTGGGTTCAGTACTTAAAAACCAAACCCGATTAATTATTTTTTTAGCTTTTTGTTTCCATAGTAACCCGATAGCATATTATACATATTAGGGCAAAGAAAAAAAACGTTGCTCTCTTTTCCGCCGCGATTTCCTCTCGTTCGTATTCGTCTCTACAAATTGAAATTGCGAATTCATAAAAGCATAATGTAAACAATAAGTTTAAACCGTGGCTTGAAATCAATCCAAAGTAACACTTTATTTCAATCCAAAGTAATGTCAATTTTATGCGAGACATTGTACTTTATGTTAATCTTATGCTAGGCACTTTGAAAGTTCTAGTTGGACAATGTGTATTTTGTTTATTTGTTGGCATAATTTCCACTATTTCCCTTCAAGAAATGGAAAACGTGTGTTTTGATGATGAGTACTTAACTCAAGTAGGATAAGCTATAACAAGACAAATACATTCCATTTTGGTGACAAAAATTGAGTAGAAATCCATCCGATATGGAAACTGATATTTAGTACATATCCTCCGACATATCTCCGATTTCCGCTATCCTATATGAATTTTAGCTGTCCGACAAGAACTCGGCATCCGACATTTAAATCCTTGCCATACACGTGATAAGCAATTCGGTTCTTCCTCAAAGGTATAAAAGGAAACACATGGGCCCAAACATTTGCCGTCTGCACTATCTTAATCTTCAAGCTGGAAGCATAAAAACTATCCATCAAAAATGAAACAGAAGGCATATTCTATGACTAAAATAACAAGTACAAGTACTTTTTTACTCAGTTGCAAGCGCACACGTTCATGTTCTGTGCCCTGAAGCAACATTGCCCTAAATATATGTGGCTTTTAGAAATTTTGAACTAAGAGATAAGCTATAGAAGAAAAAGAAACACCTTGACTTTGTCATCTGACTAAAGTACAAAATGCTGAATTCCTGAATATATCTTCCCAGCTTCTGTTTGTCATGATTGATTGTTTTTGTTCAAAAGAGTTTCATTGGAAAACTGAAGGATTGAGAAGTTGTCAAGTAACAATTAAATAACCAAGTCCACGTTCAAGACTTTTACTTCAGGAACGAAGTGCTAATAAATCCCAACCTGACCATTTTTTGTGATCCAGCTAAACTATTGTTTATCAACCTTTAGCTCAGTCTGTGCTCTGTTTTTTTGGGCCAAACAGATACCGGGAGTTAGCAAATCGTGTTGATGAAGCACTAGGGTTCATGTCTGCAGCCGGGCTCACAGTTGATCACCCAATCATGACCACCACTGATTTTTGGACGTCCCATGAGTGTCTTCTCCTCCCATATGAGCAATCACTCACCCGAGAAGACTCTACCAGTGGCCTCTTCTATGACTGTTCAGCCCACATGCTCTGGGTTGGCGAGCGAACTCGGCAACTTGATGGAGCTCATGTCGAGTTCCTCCGAGGTGTCGCTAATCCTTTGGGCATCAAGGTATCATGATCATGCTTGAAAGATGGGTGTTTTAGATATTAGTCCGTCAAATCTTCAATAATTCCATATTAGTCCCTCAAAATTTTGAAATTGCTCATAAGTCCCTAAAATCCTACCGGGTCTTGCATACTGATCCCTTAATTATCAAAATATCCTTCAGCTTATCCAAAAACCCAAAACGCCTGTGTTCACAAAAACATAAGCTGAGGGTGTTTTAGTAATTTGGAAACCAGATAGTAAGACCCCTTGGAATTTGAGGGAATATTATGGAATTATTGAAGATTTGAGGGACTAATGTCTAAAAAGCCCTTGAAGGTCAGGGTTGTAACACATTCTGACTTTGGATATTAACAATAGATTGATGGGTGTAGGTAAGTGATAAGATGGACCCAAAGGAGCTGGTGAAGTTGATCGAGATTTTGAACCCACAGAACAAACCAGGAAGAATCACTATTATCACGAGGATGGGTGCGGAGAACATGAGAGTGAAATTGCCTCATTTGATCAGAGCAGTTAGAGGAGGCGGGCAGATTGTTACTTGGGTTAGTGATCCTATGCACGGGAACACCATCAAGGCTCCATGTGGTCTCAAGACTCGTCCATTTGATGCAATCCGGGTATGCTTAACATCCCTCTCCCTTTCTTATACTCGATTTCACACATCTGAGCATTACATTTTAGTATTATCTTCCACATATTGTGAGTTAAATTGACAATTCATGCTTCAACTTGGGTACAAGAGATTACAACAATTACTTACAATTTGCTTCTTGTTTTTGTGTTTCTCTTCTGTTCCCATGTTGTTAGTTTATGCATTAAGACATGAAGCTCTATCTTTGTCCGTAGCTCATCAATACTAAAATTAATAATTGTGATAAATTAAAATTCTATGATTGGTTTCTTGCAATGAACCTGAGTACTGTTAGGTGGGGCGCCCTTTGAATTTAAGAGTTCTCCATTTGAGACATTCTCATACCATGTTTAAAGAATGATAGAGGTTTCTGTATTTTTGTCTCTGATATCAAAATATTTGTTTAGCAAATCAGTTATATGACAATTACTTCACGCAGATTTTTTATATTTCAAAATCATTTAACTTTTATTCTTTAATATCCGCTCAAGCCATTGAAAATACTTACAATGACCCTGTTGTCATCTTTCTCACCAACCCTCATGGATTGGATTGGATCAAGTTGCTTTATTTTCTAATATAGTGGAAGATTACCTAACCCAGCTTACCAACCCACTTGCTAATAATTAGGTTGGCCATCACAATTTGGTGTAGGTTGCAACACTGTTTGGTCCACATATACCGGTGGTCCATGGACTCCATTTTCTGGTAAAACAAATGGATTCGTTGACAATGGTCCTCCACAATATAGAAAGAAAGTGCTTTCAGTCTTTTATTTGTTTGGTTTCTAGCCTAATTCCCTATTAGCCTGTACTAAATAGATATCTCGACTTGCATATGTAAATTACTAAAACACAGATTGTGCTGTATTAGGTCTTGTGAAAAAGGAAATTAGAGAGATAGGAAGTTTGAGATCAGGATACTACAGGGGGTATATCTGCAATTAACCTTTAAAAAATTTTGGGTCATAAGCGTAGTCATGGTACCTGTTCCCTCATGATTTCTACAAAGTATTTTTGTCAGTTTAAATAAAAAAATGAGTTGGAATTCACTTCCAAAACATTTGCTTTGAGTTCTTTGCATAAATTTAGATTTAGAGTTCACATTGTATTGAAGTAACCATTATGCAAATGTCCACCAACATACTGATGTAGAAAACCCCTCTGATGGCATACAGGCAGAAGTGAGGGCATTCTTCGATGTTCATGATCAAGAGGGCAGCCACCCTGGCGGTGTCCACCTGGAGATGACAGGGCAAAATGTGACTGAGTGTATCGGTGGGATCCTGCACTGTGACCTTCGATGATCTGAGCTCCCGCTACCACACTCACTGTGACCCAAGGCTGAACGCTTCACAGTCCCTTGAGCTCTCCTTCATCATCGCTGAGAGACTTCGTAGGAGGAGGATCGCCTCTGGTTTTCAGCTGCCACTTAACCCAACCTTCGGGTTTTAATTTCACTATTATTTGAATATATGGAGAGCTTGGGTTTTGGGGGAGTTTTTTTTATCTGTTAGTTGTTATAAGTGCGTACACGAGGTTCAGAACTTTATGTTTGAGAGAGATATATGTATGTTTTAGTGCGAGCACAGACGTATGCGTCCGGGCATCGGAAATATAATAAAATCAGCATTAGAGAATGTTTTAAGAGTTACTCCCCATTTGTTAAGAAATATTCTCCCTCTACACCTTGGTGTTTTTGGTGGTGGGATACATATTACATAGCCATCGTTGTGTAGGCCCTTTTTCCTTTGTGGGGTTGGTTGGCCTTCATTCTCAAGCATACCCACCTGCCTACGTCACCAACCAACTTCACCCCCTGCATTCTTCCCATTTTTGTTTCTTGAAAATTTCGGAATTATGTGATAGTTTTCATGACTGGAACTTATGAAAACCCATACAAACAATTTTGCATTTAAAGCATGAAAAACAATTTGCTACTCTTATCTTCATTGACGTAGTGCTAGTGAGATCCGTGTTATGTAGTGGATGACTTAGAATCCTGACTTGAATACGAAACATCATACTCATCCTGGATCCTGACCATTAACCTCAAACTTCATTTTAGAATGACCAAAGAGAATAATTATTTACATTAATTAGTTGCGCGCACCTTATTATGTCTAAAAGAGCTCCTCCCTCATTGATCGTCTGGGTGGGTTCGAAGTACCCATATGATTGTGAACATTACCCCTCATGATTCAACAATTTCGACCTCGGTATAATGCCAAATCATACATACTTGTGTATTTGTTTATAACTTAACTAGCAAATAACCCCCGCGTCACGCGGGGTAAAGACGACAATTCAAACTGTATTTGAACAATTGAGTAACAAATTTGTTCGAATTGATTAAATATCAATAATTATAAGCATTTGAAAGGAACTTTGATACTACACAAAATAAAATAACTACACAAATTCTCACATACCTCATATGTCACTGCTACAATCAATATTGTGGAACAATGAAGACTTGTTGATTGGTTACATTTAAAACCCAAACTTCTTCAGCTGATGGGAAGATGAGCCACTCCATTAGCTAGATAATCTCCAGATTGATTTGAACATCATAAAATGGATCCATCACAAATTCTGGTGTACTTGACCATAATTTTATTCTGATACAGCGTATAATCAATTTCTTGTAATTTCTCTATCATTTTGTTATCGTTTCTTCTCATTCTACAGTTGGGTACACTCAAAGCAATATTATCTTTCAATTGTAAACCGAATAGAGCATTGATAAAGCATACGTAGCGCCAAAGATTCATTGTGCAGTCATCTAAATAGAGACTTTAAGTTCAATTAAAAAAAATTCTTTGAGTAATTTATTTCCTTAAACTCACGACTTAAACCCAAAATATATTAGGAGCATAGTTTTTTACCAGAAAAATCTTAGTGCTTTGTAAAAACGAAAAGCAAAGTGAGACAAGAAGAAAAATCATTGGAAAACATTGAAGTTTTAACATAAGACAAACGCTCTATCTTTCAAAATATTTGAAGTATCTAGAACATCATATTTACATGCCAAAAGGTTAAGCAAGCAAGCATGGACTGTTTAACATGTAAATCTACTGAGAGCCTTCATCGGAGTCAGCTTCAAAAGCAAGCTCTTGTACTATTTCATCGCTCGCAGCAGAACCAACTCCTTCGCCAGATGATGCAAATGATCTAGTATTTTCGTGAAGTGCTTCACCCATATTTTGCACTGGGATAAATACCCTAGGAGATCAATCCATTGAGCTGACTGTATAGTGCCCTTTTAAGCTCGACTTGTGATTTGCATAATCATAATGAACCACAAACTTGAAAGTTTTTCCGATAGCTTTGGTGATAATGTTTTGGATCTTGAAGAGCCCATTCCCCTAGAAATGTAAAATTGATCTACTTCATTTCCATTTTATTCCTTTTTTTTGCGTGGTAAAAACTATATTATCGAAAAATACACTCTGCTTTATTTTGCTTTAGTTCCGGAGCAGGGACTTCGAGAATTTCTTCTACATCATGGTTAAAAGCTATCAAGTTCAGGCTACCCGTTTCATCTTTGACATCGGTCGTAATCTTGTACCTAACATGTCAATGAGTTGAGTAATTCATGTCTACGCTTGTTACTTAGAATGTAAAGCTACAAATTTACTAAAGAACATGGGGTTGTTTATATGTAATTGGTATGAGGCTGTAAAGAAGAGACCTCTGTGTTGTTTTCCCTTGACGATTGGCACAATTTGGGCTTGGGCAATCATAGCGGTCATTAAGTTCATACTTTCATGCCTTTCGGACAGATTGCACATGCACGATAAGTCATTGAGAACTCAGTATAAACACGCAATACAGTTGCTCAGATTATGTAGTACAAATCCTGATACATTTATTCACAGAGAGAGAGATTAATCGTACAGAGCTACCAATGTTTAATAAAGAAGTGTTTTCTATATTAGATGAGGGAGAAAATTAGACAGCGAAAGGGATACATGGAAATCATTTTATGAAAGATTTGATTAAGGAATCTTTTGAATAGTGCAAATACTATGTTGAATTGTAGGAAATAGAAAAGAAATGAGGTTGTGGATTGATAAGGAATTCCCATTTTTTTTTTATAGATTTGCAGTTAATCTCATAATTTTAGAAATGAAATAATATTCCAAATCATAAAATTTTTTTTGAAGGAAGATGGTTTTTTTCTTGCAACTGTTCTCTTTTTTCAAATCATTAGTCTATGATTTCTCCTCTTTTTTTCTTGTCTTATCATAATATATAGAGTGAATGAACATGCATATAATAGAACATGCAAATGACATAGTTCAACGAAATACATGCTACATTGTTGATCTTATTGCAGAAGGCTTGCAATATAGAGACAAGGTTTGTTGATTGCAGCTAAGATTCATTTATAAGGAGAGAAAAAAAATTGACATCAGAGTACGCACCTTGTCAAGAATGGGTGGGGAGATAGTAAGAGCACGAAGTTGGCTAATTGTGTGAATCACATCAGGAGCTTTACAATAAATTTCACTGAATGATGATATCTCGGCTTTACAAGCGCGAAGTTGGCCTGCTTTGTTCATCACTCTATTTTTGAATTTAATCAATGGGAACGACAGAGAAGAGATGAGAAAAAAGGAAAAGGTTTTATGAATAATCATCACTAACTACAAATATTTGAAAATACACAATAACTTACTCTTTGAGAAGCAATCTAGACTCAAGCATGTCCTCTGGATCAATGTTGAATCTTGAGAATGTGCTTGTCTACAGCCCTTGACGCTCTTTTTAGATTTTTTCCCAACTCAAGTCAGTCAAGAAATTTTTTATTGATGTACTAATTGGTAGGATATGCAGGGAACATACCGTGAAAATTGTTTGTTTTGAGGCCACTCGCAAGACGGACAAACTGTTTCTTAAATGGTAGACAAAACTCTTTAGTTCGTTTGTAATATTCTTCCTTCCAGGTAGCACACAAACTCTTGGAAATATAATTTCGTCTGTCATGAAGACCTGAGCATAGTAGATAAGCTTATTCTTTGTATGTCTTCTAGTAGAAGGGTGGACATCAATGGCAAATGTGAGGACATCAGCTATAATAAGACAGCCTTAGCAAGTTTGCAATCCTTTTTCTGTAACATTGATTTTCTTTGCATTTTGAAAATGAAGAACCACAGTTTAAAATGACCATTTGATCAGTTAGTGAGAAAATTGAACAATAAATAATGCTTCAGAAGATTAATTTATTATGCATGCACTGAAATTATTATACTTGTGGAGTATACATTATGCACTGCATAATTGTTGTGGATGAGAGTTTTCTTTCTAAGCATGAAAATTAGCATGATGAGTATATGAGATAAAGTCTGAGTTGTAAAGAAAACTAAAGAGAGAAATAGATAATAACCTTTGAGAACTTCAGCCTCTGTTGTAGGTTCTTTAGATGATTCGACTCCATTGGCATTTTCAGTTTGTTGAAGAGTGTCATGCTTTTCCATATATATAATAGTTCTAGTGGAATATTCGTGTCCGACATAATGGTAGAAGTTGTCCTCTAAGTAAAAATCAATTGGTGCTTATGATCAATAAGTTTGATATAGTAGTTTGAATCAACAACAGAAGCCCTTGAAACAACATATGCTAAACCCTCCTCAAGCATAGATTTCCACAGGTCAGCTAGCCCAACTGGTACAAATTTTTGTCTGCAACTACCTTGTTACGTGCTGGTTGTTGTTAGCTCTTTAAGAACACATGTGGACAAGAGTCCAAAAGAAATAGACACACAAGCCGCAAATTTTAAAGATATAATTGTACAAGAATGTGTAAGTTTTTATTGTGAAAAACATAATTTTAGAGTGTTGTGGTTTAGGAAAGACCTTTTCATCTTTAGCAATGAAGACCATCGATTGCATGCTTCCAGTACCATGAAGCTGACCATACCAAAACTTCAAGATTTGAAGGTTTACGTTATATTCCTTAGCCATGCTATCCATGTCATCAAAAGTATTGCTGCAAATACTCTCATTATCTTTAGCTAGTTGCCACTTTTTTATTTTTTGTGTAGTGGATGCTCTTTTTTTTTTCCTTTGGCATTGGATTATATTGCAGCCTTTTTTTAGCTTTGCCCTTGATATTTTTTATTGCTTCATGCTATGCCTTTCTCTTTGTTGGGCCTCCCTTATGAAGAAAACACACATGTAGATCGAGATCTTGCCTGAAGACGAGGGCCTGGACAGGTGAGGAGCTCGACTGATGGCGAGGTCAGCTCGCCTGATGGCAAGGTCTTGAGAGGATGCGAAGGCAAGGGGGCTCGCTTGATGGAACGCTCGAAGCTCGCCTGTTGGGAGCATCGAGCTCGCCTGTCGCGTGGTTGGAACCAGCTGAACCCAGCTGGAGATGAGCTCGTCCTAGGGTTTCCCTATAAAAGGGAAACCCTATTCTCGAATTTGGAGAGCTTGGAGCGGAGCTTGAGCAGAGGGAGAGAGCGAAGCTTGACGGCGGTGTTTTTGAGCTCTCGTTCCCAGAAATTAAAAAAGGGGAACTCTCTGTGATTTGTGAACCCCAGATTTGTCCTAGCCCTCATTAATGAAGGAGAGGAGGAGTTGTATTTAAAGAGGGGAATTTGAGTAATTAAGAGAGAGTTTGAGCAGTGATTTTAGATTAAACGCACTTGCTATTTGACTGAGAGATCTCAAGTTTGAGATCTTCTCTCTTATTTGTAATTTTTTATAATTAATAAGAAATTATTTGTGCCGCTCCCGTGGACATAGGCAAATTTGTCGAACCACGTAAAATTTGATGTCTTGCATTTGTGATACTTGTTTTTGGTTGTTGATTTGTGTTCCAACCTCGTTTTAATTTGTGTGCCTTCGATTCCGCTACGCACAACAAGTGGTATCAGAGCCCGGGTTTGGCTTGGGGTTCGCTTTGGAAAAGAAAGCTAGGGCTTAGATTCTCGTTTGACGAGATTGGATTGTCAAGATGATCAAAGCAAGTACATCAGGATCGTCTCTGTCGAAGGCAATACAAGGGTTGAGCATTAATAATACAAAACTTGATGTTAAAAAAATTTGATGGCAAGATAAACTTTAGTTTGTGGAGGTGTCAAGTGATGGATACATTAGATGTCCAAAATTTGGAGGAGACTCTTGAATTACAAGAGAGACCCGAGGATATGGAGGATAAGATTTGGAAGAAAATGAATAGTAGAGCATGCGGGGTTATTCGATCATGTTTGATGTTAGACTGATTTATGATGTGATGAATGAAACATGGCGAAGCGATTGTGGGAAACACTCAATGAGAAGTATTTGACGAAGAGCATTGAGAATCAGCTTCATTTGAAGAAAATGTTTTACCAATTCAAAATGAAGAGGGGAGTTTCTATTAGAGAACATGTCAATATTTTCACAAAATTTGCTATTAGATATGGCCAATATGGATACCATGGTAGAGGATAAAGATAAGGGGATGTTGTTGCTATGTTCATTGCTAGAGGTTGATTTTGGTACCTTTGTCCTTCCGATGATCAATGGTAGAACCACTGTCAGCTGTAAGGAGGTGACCTCAGCATTGGTGAACTATGAGTTGAGGAAGAGTGATAGTGAACACTCTGAGAAGGCATCGGGAGATACATTGGCATTAAGAGGCCGTAGTCCAAACCGTCGTCCGTTTAACCGCTTAAAGTCAAAACATAGAGGTGGTCATAAGAGTGTTGGTAGGAATTAATGTGTTTTTTTACAAAGAGGATAGACATTGGAAGAATGAATGCCCAAAGTTGAGAGATAGGGCCAGGAAGAATAAGGGGAAATCCATGCATGCTTCAGAGGTGAATATTGCCAAAGCTAGTGGCCACAATTCAAATTCAGATTCTTCAGGCTACTCATGCCCAGCATTACCGTCAGTTTGTTATACCGACTCTTTAGGCTACTCATGCCCAACATTACCTTCATATCTGACAACACCTCGCCCTCTGATTTCAGATCCCTGTAAATGAAGACTCTAGGCTTGTATTTATAGGCTTCGGTTGTAGTGTTTTTCGATAAGAACTAAAGATTTGACGTTATGCGCAGTTAACAACCGCTTAACCATGTTCAGAGATAGTATCAAAGTAGTTAGGAGGCTCTGAAATGATCAAATCCCGCGAAAACACGTTTTTGGCTCAAAACTGTGCGAGCCACCATTTGGTGG